TCTCTCTAAAAAAAATAAAAAATAAAAAAAATTAAAAAGGGCTAGAGATGTGGCTCAGTGGTAAAACACCCCTAAGTTCAATTTCTGGTACCAACAACAAAAAAATCTGCCAGCCTTCAAAAATGAAAATAATTAGCAAAATACTAATTAAAGTTAAAATTAGGCAGTCAAAAATAAATATAAGGACTAATCAAGTTGTATAAATATGTGCAGTCAATAGCCCCTTAACAATGGTTTAAAAAAATTAATGAGAAGGAGGATGTGTGTTTGACTTTCTCCAAAAGTTAAGACAGGAAATAAAACTTTAGCCAAATCTTTAAAAAACATGAATAATAAAAACACAGAGAAAATAGAACCAAATCTAAATGCAATTTATTACACAATTGTTCTTTAAGGGTGTTATTAATCCTTCTGTTGCCTAATTTTACATATTAAGTCATTAGTAAAAATTATTAGCAAATAATACATAACAAAATTACTAGCAAATAATACATAGTAAGATGCCAAAGGCAAAGGGTATTATAATCTTTTAAGCATAAATAACTATGATTAATTTTCTAATCTGCAAAAAAATACTTGACATGGTTTTACAACTCTTATTAGTTAAAATTTCAAACTTAAAAGAACAGAATTAACATATTTTACATGAAGAATCTAAACAAGGTAGTACCAATTACAATAATAAAAAAAGAATTAGACAAAAATTTGAATTCATTTACATGAGGTAGAATATCACTCACTGCTTACCAGGATTATGATGAGTTGCAGATTCTCCATTCTGAAATACATCTCCTGCCACATTCATTCTACCAGGATTAAAAGGTCCTACTCCAGTCTTGGTCTGTGAAGTTAAAGATGGGGTGTATGTTTGTATATTAACACCAAAATTACTTGTCTGCAGTCCGTTAGAGACATCTCCCAAGTTGGTATTCTGCAGTGATGTTACATGTGTAATCATTAAGTTCATATCTCTCCCGTCAGTATTTTCTAATTGGCCATCATTCACAGAGCTTACACCTGTTTCTAAGGTGGTAACATTAGCAATCTGAATTTCAGAGTCAGGTTCTGTGGTGATACCACTATTACCCATTCCTGAATTTACCTTACTTCTTGAAAAACTGGAAGTAGAGAAATCCACATCATTGGTTCTATTTTTAGTCTCAGAAGGTCTCCGTTCTATAAAATTGGAGGAATTTTTTTCTTGCCCTTGATTTGTTTCCATGTCCTCTTCGTCATCAATGACAATTGTCTCACTTACACTTCCCTTCTGAGAAGCCAACTCTTTTGAGGAAGAAATAATTTTGGAATCATTTCCTTGTAATTCTTCATTTTTTGATGAAGTAAATGTTATGTTTCTTTGATCAGTTACCACTGGTGCAGAAGGTGGGGGAGGTTGTACAGGTTCAATAAAAACAACATCATCATCGTCTTCCACTGATGAGTTTTGAAATTTATTAGATCTAGACACTAAAGGATTAGGTGGACCACTAAATGAATTTCCTACATTTGTGAGACCAGTTGCCATGGCCGTACTTCCCAATAAAACAGAAGTCTGCTCAGTCAGTTCTAATGCTCCCACTGAACTTGTGTCCATGCCAAAGAACCTGTTGGAAAAATAATAAAAACATCAGACTGTGACCTTATGTTATTAAACTAAAACCAATTTTTTGGAGGGGGGCAGAGGAATTACTGAGGTGAACCCAGTGGTACATTAACAATGAGCTACATCCCTCTTTTTGGGGTAGGGTACCAAGGATTGAATACAGGGAGCATTTAACCACTGAGCCACATTCCCAGCCCTTTTTTAGATTTTATTTTGAAACAGAGTCTCACTAAATTGCTGAGGCTCTCCCCATTGGGATTACAAGAGTGTCACCATGCCCAGCAGGAAATCTTTTTTCTTTCTTTGTTTTGGTGGGAAGGAAATACTGGGGATTGAACTTAAAAACACTTCTAACACTGAAACACATCCTCAGCCCTATTTTGTATTTTAGAGACAGGGTCTCACTGAGTTGCATAGAGCATCACTTTTGCTCAGTCTAGCTTTGAACTCGAAATCCTCCTGCCTCAACTTCCTGAACTACCTGGGATTACAGGAGTGCCCACCATACCTGGCTCTAAAACCATTTTTTAAAAGTACTTGCCCCCCCTCCCCCGCCAGCCTCAGTTTGGAGACTGAACCCAAGAGGACTCTATTTACTATATCCAGCCCTTTTTAAATTTGGGGACAAGGTCTCACTAAATTGACAAGGCTGGCCTTGAATATTTGATCCTTTGCCTCACCCTACTAAGTAGTTGGGATTATAGGCATGCACCACCACACCTGATTTATCTTTTTTTTTAAACAATACTTTTATTTATTTATCATTATGTGGTGCTGAGGAGCGAACCCAGTGCTTCACCATGCTAAGTGAGTGCTCTACCACTGAGTCACAACCCCAGCCCCTCACTTATCTTCTTTATAAGTGAAAATGCTCACAGAATGATCCATTCTGTGATCTTCTCAATTAGCCATTTCATATAGCTTACGTGTCAACTTCTACAGGAAAACAAGACAAACTATCTAATTTTCTGTAACCATGTGTTAAGTCCTACCACTACTATCTCCTTTCCAGGGTACACATTTACTCTATATCAACTTATTATTGAAAATGTAGGTAAATCATTCTACAAATTAGACCGGGAAAACAACCAAAAACTAACAATAAAAATAATCTTTCAATACACATCTATCCCATTTATCCAATGAATAAAATATGATCTAATTCCTCACTTCCCTTACCTCATCATCTTCTTTTAAATCCTTTTTCTTGTATTCCCTAGCTCCCATGTAAATGCACAGAACAATCTTTCTGAAAATTTGAAATCTCTGACTAATAGACGACGAGGTATTAAAAATTGTTAACTGAATGTCATAGCATTTTTCCTACTTTTTGGACCACATAATTTATCACAAATTTTTAAGCAACCTTTTTTCTTTTCTAATAATGCTGGGGATCAACGCTAAATTTAAAATTTTTAAAAGCAAAATGATAACAGAAGTTTGGTGATCAGAGAAACAACTCTTTAAGCAAATGACATTTACAGTGAAATCTGAAATAGCAAGAAGAATCGAACTATGGGAAAACCAAGCAAAAAAAAAAAAAGTTCCTGCAAAAGGAAAAGAGAATAAGGTTGCCTGATTCAAGCAAAAAAAATTGCTATTGTTCGGATATTGAATGCCCCCCAAAGCCCATGTGTTGAAGCCTTGGTCCCCAGTCCCTCGCACTATTGGGAGGTGGTGGAACCTTTAAAAAAATGGAGCCTATTAAAGTCATTGGGGTACACCCTTGAAGGAGACGCTAGAATACAGGCCCTTCCTTGCTCTTTTTTCACCTCTCAGGCACCAAGAAGTGAGCAGCTTTCTCTGCTCCACTTTCCCACCTCGATATGCCTCATTCAACATGGACACCTCCCCCCAAAAAATGGTCCGACCATGGACTGAAACCTCCAAAACCATGAGCTTCTCTTTTGAAATTGATTTATCTCAGTGTTTGTTATAGTAAGAGAAAGATAACTAACAAGAATAAAGCCAATGTTGCTACAACTAACTAGGAGGGGAACTGGGCATATGCCTGTAATCCCAGTGGCTGGGGAGACTGAGACCAGAGGATATTGAATTCAAAGCCAGTCCCAGCAAAAGGGAAGCACTAAGCAACTCAGTGAGACCCTGTCTCTAAGTAAAATACAAAAAAGGGTTGGAGATGTGGCTCAGTGGTTAAATGGTTAAATGCCTCTGGTACAAAAAAAAAAAAAAACCTAGGAGGGGAAAAAGACGAAAGGAGGCACAGAAATAAGCAAAGAACAATTCACCACAGCAAACAAGCTGATTCATAATTACATTCAACAGACTTACAGAGCACCTATTATGTATCAGACTATTTTAGGTACCTGGGGAAAAGCTAGTAAATAAAACAAGTAAATATTCCTGGCCTCAGAAAACATGGCAGATGTGGGAGCACCCAGGTGTGGTGGCAAGCCCCTCTAATCCTAACAGCTCAGGAGGCTGAGGAAGTAGGTTCACCAAGTTTGAGGCCAGCTTCAGCAACTTAGCAAGGCCCTGTCTCAAAATAAAAAAAAATAAAAAAATAAATAAAGGTCAGGAACTGGGTATGTGGCTCAGAGGTTAAGCACCCTTGGGTTCAATCCTGGCACCAAAAACAAAATATAGAATTCTAAAATAAATGTTTGCATTTTACTGTAGCAGGACACACAGCCAACATAATGTATTGCTTAAAATAGGTTACTGAGCCAAGCGTGATGGTGAACACCTATAATCCCAGTAGCTTAGTAGGCTGAGGCAGGAGGAATGTGAATTCAAAGCAGCTTCAGCAATTTAGCGAGGCCCTAAGCAACTTGGTGAGACCCTGTCTCTAAATAAAATACAGAAAGGGTTGGGGATGTGGCTCAGGGGTTAAGTACCCCTGGGTTCAATCTCTGGTACCCACCCCACCCACAAAAATAAAAGTTCTCAAAAGTGAAGAAAGCTCCCCAGGACCACAGCCAGGAAGAATAGAGCTCAGGATTTAAATTGTCACAACATGCAATTAAGTATTGAACAATAATATAAGCCAATAATGCAGCTCTTTTAAATTTAAAAGATGTAGCCACTGAATGAAACAATAACCAAATCAATATTCAAACCACACAGGCTTCAAAAGGAAGAAATATCAAGCCCAAAGGACCTAGCAAAAAAGAGTTTTAAAAAATAATAAACTTGTAGTTGACATTTACTTCATAAGGCAGGAAGTATCTAGACCAACACAGCATTTTCAGAAAACTGAGACTTAACCTAAATCTACAAATATTATGATACATGTAGGCTTTTATTGTGTAAGTTATCTGGATCCTTCAATTCTTTCTGTGTTTCAGCATGCCTGAAACAGAATAAACCAATTTCTGGAACAGAAAAGTTATAACTGACCTAATGTTACCCTCTGGTGGCTACTAGGAGAGTTTAGTCTCCTCACAACAGACACAGAATAGATCTTTCCTTATCAAACAGTTAATTCTCTACAATTATATACTCAAAACAACATAACTGGGCTGGAGTTGTAGCTCTTTGGAAAGTGCTTGCCTCACACATGTGAGGCACTGGGTTCCAATCCTCAGCACCACATAAAAATAAATAAATAAAACAAAGGTATCATGTCCATCTAACTTAAAAAATTATAAAACAAAACAAAAAACATAACTCTGAAAGGAAAATCAAATCTTGACTGCAAATAAATCTAGTCACTGCTAAATGTCATTGAGAGTATGTCCTAAAAAAAAGTCCAATTAAAAGTTGACCATCATTAACCACACAAAATCTACTATATTTAGTCACTTTTCTTTCTTGTGGTGCTAGATATCAAACTCAGGATCTTCAGCATGCTAGGCAAGCACTCTGAGTTTCCTCCCCAGCCCTTAGCCACTTTTCTACCTCAAATCAATTCTAATTACCTACTTAACATTGAGCAAATCACTTCTCTGAGCTTTAATTTTCTCTACAGGAGGGAAGAATGGTTTACAGGGCTGTTCTTAGAACTCAAAGAGATAACTGAATGTGAAAGCCACTTAGCACACTCCTAAACAATCACTTAACTCCTCCTGATAATCACCAGGCAACTTTTGCCTGTACCTCAGAATTTCAGTAACTCTCCAATTAATTTTTATTTTCTTTATAATATTTCATCATCATCGTGCTTTCAAAGTTTTACTTGTTCTTTATTTTGCTTCAATGAGAATCAATTAACACAAAAGATGTTCTCATGATATAACAACAAAAAGGTAAGGGTTAAAACAGAAATACTGACATATTTATAAAAAGAAAATCTGAACACTTGTTGATAAAAGCTTATGAACCTTCAAAGACAAAAATCACAAAGAAAGTACTTCAAAGTGCTTAACATTTATTAATCACTTTCTCATAGCCTATCTAAAAGCTTTGTTGGTACCATAAAAGAATTACAAACGAAGCTAAGGTGAATTCTTCTGTATAGCAAAGAGTATTATTCAATATGTTTGAGGCACTATATTAGAGTTCGGGTCACTATGATTTTAGTTTAATTGGGGGGGGGGGAGCCGGTATCAGGGATTGATCAGGGGCACTCAATCACTGAGCCACATCCCCAGCCCTAGTTTGTATTTTATTTAGAGATAAGGTCTCACTGAGTTGCTGGCTTTGAACTTGAGATCCTCTTGCTTCAGCCTCCAGAGCCACTAGGATTATAGTGGGCCAGCGCACCCAGTTTAAAAATTCTATTTTTATACACCTTTATTAGCCCTCCTAATAAGAATAAAAATTCCTTAAAAAGGTAGGAATAGACTTATATATAACTAGTAAGCCAGAATATACCAAATTTAATGGAAAATACTAAAAGCATTATTATTAAACTCAAGAAAAAGACAAGTATGACAGATGTGGTGGCACATGCCAATAATCTCAGCTACTCAGGAGGGTTAGGCAGGAGGATCTCAAGTTCAAGGCCAGCCTGGATAACTTAGTAAAAACAAAAAGGGCTAGTGATGCAGCACAGTGGCAGAGCACTTGACTAGTATGGTGCTAGGTTTGATCCACACA